AGGGGCTAAAAAGTTCAGGGATCTGGAGGCAAAGCAAAGATTTTCTTTGGATGATGTCAACTTTTTTTTCATTCATGCTGATGTCGAGAAATCTAGCTTCGAGTGAAAAGGTACTGTAATAGTTCAGCTGTGGAGTCTGCCTCGGATTGCCTGGTGAGGCAGCACAAGGTGTTTCCAATGAACTTGCACCTCTGGGCATCAGTCAGAGGTCAGAGATGCGTGGGGTTTGTCCGGCAGCAGAACAGGATGAATTTAAATCCTGCCTCTTGCTTCATTGGTACTTAACGCTTGTTGTGAGTATTACAAGACAGTTGTAGTCCCTTTTGGTTTTGTTTTGCTCAGGTAATGACACTGTGTCCCTAGCCATTTTTTTTGCAGCAATGATCTGTCAGTGTCCCTGCTCTATGTGGGCCGATTGGTCCCTGACAGAGAAGAAAAGGGAACAAGCGGGCAAACATAATTACAGCCTGACGGGAGCTTGGGATCAGACCTGGAACATGAAATCAGTTTGAACTCTGCTATTGAATTACTGATGTTGCAGGTTGTTCCTGTTGACTCTTAAAAAAGAAAAAGGTGGTTATTTTCTACAGTGAGTTGGTGGTAGTGTAACCGAAGGCTTTTTTTTTAAAAAAAAAAAAAATACTCAGAGCTTGAAGCGTATGTGAGTACATCTATTGTGACGATTTCGATGGTGGGGAAATGGTCCTTTTGCTACAATGCCACAAAAGAACTAAACCAAGCTGACTCTGCAGGTGGTGATAATTCCAGTGCAGCAAATGCAAGCGTGTGCTGGGGACCGCACATCTGTAGGAAGCTGCTGACAATTATTGCTCTTTTACTGTATGAGGGTGATGTGGAAAACCTTGGACAATTCCGTAACACGCTGAATGCTAATAACGGGGTATTACTTCATTTCCCCCTTGGAGGATGTGTGAACTTAATTGTACAAGGCTTTTGGGGTTTTGCCTATTCTGTGTATCATCTTCTATTTATAGTTTTCATTAGCTTTCGTTTCAGACCGCCTGATGATAGGACTGCTGTGGCTGTGGAATAGTGTAATTTTTAATTTGCCATCCGTGCAGCCAAGAGGGACAAGCATGTTTTAGATTCAACTAGCCTGGCTGGATGGCAGTCCCAGGCGTTGAAAGCGGTAGATACGACAGTCTGTGCTTTAAAAGGCTACGGGTAACGTGGGAGTGTGTGGATAAAAGCATTTTACAGACATAGCATGGCCAGCACTTCCCCTCCTCAGCGTGTTGTCCAACATAAAACAGATCAAGCTGTGAAGGATTACTGAATAACCTCCTTTATTTTTCTGAGAATGGAAACATGTTGAAAGCGTTCTCACTCCGTTGAATTAAGGCCTTCATATGAGACCAAAGTGAGGAAGAACAGATTTGACAAATGACAAGAGAAAAGGGAGATGTTCTGAAATGCTGCTGATGTTTGCTTTAGGGATAAGAAAGGTAAATCTAGGAGAAGACTCAAGGGGTAAGTGGGCGTGGGAAAGATCAGGGAATGTTTGAGGAAGAATTTGATTTGCAGACTGCAAGCGTTAGAAGAATTTTGTTTTTTTTTCTGAGCTAATTTGTTGCTATATTAATAGTTTGCAGCTGTAATCTTTATACAACACTTGTTTCTCTTGATGTCGACAGAATGAGATACTGCAGTCACAAAAGCAACGTATTAGGTGAATTAAGGGAGCACCGCTTATGTTTTTAGGTTATTTTTTATTGGATTTCCAGAATGAAATTACAGTGCAGTTCAAATAGAGCCTCACAGCAGTACCTCCGTCCACCTTCCCCCATGCAGCCATCCTCATTTGAAAATAACTAAAGGTGTCCTTGTTTTAAAGGACACGACCCATTCTGGTTCTTTCCTCTAACCTAGTTTCCCATTTGCCGGTGCGCTCTCACCAGCACGGCTGTGGTTTCAATCATTGCTGTTCTCTCAGACACTGGGAATGTGTTTTGGTCCTGTCCCTCTCATGGTTCTGGTTCTTGAAAACAGTTCTTGAGAAACGTTCATCTTTTTAAAGGTGCTTGAGTACGTATACAGGTAGAAACTGCTTACTTTTATGTACTGTTCTCCAAACTGTGGTGAGCATGCTGTCACCAGCACTGATGGGAAAAGATTTCCAGCTGCAAGGCGTCGTTGGATATATGGCAGACACAAATACTTGGACATGGATTTGGATTGAGTTTCTGAGTTTAGTGACATTGCTAAAAATCTTGCTGATGTTTAGTCTTGCAATGTAGCAAGGGTTTGATTTTTTTTTTCTGTGTAGGGTGCTGATTTTTCAGTGTTTTTTTTTAAAAGCTACTTTTACAATTAGTATTTAGTCTTCTGAAAGTGCTGTATGTGTTGATCTTTGATTAAATTCCATTATTGATTAAATGAAATCTGTTTAATGTATGTTTAAACTTCAGTGGCTTTTCATAACAATGCTTTTTTTCCCCCACTCATTACCTCAGATAGGCAACCAAATTATCCCACAAGCTTGCTAGGTCTTCCTTTGTTGTTAGCTACACTGGAGCAGGGATTATCATTGGATTCTACCCAAGTGGGGGCTAACGACATTAGTACAGCAGAATATACTTGAATCATGCATCAGTGTATGGGGTGGTCTTTAATGAATACCTTGTGAAGGCTGAGCTGTTGCAAATGATTTTGAGAATTTGTTGTTAAATAAGATGTCTAGGCATATTGTCTAATTTTTTCATCACCTGTGTTCCTAGAATTTTCTAGCTCTCAAGTTGATGGAAATATTTTAAACACAGTATGATGTTAAATTAGTGTGGAAAAAAACAAGCTGAAAACCAACCTGTAACCATAAAATAGAACTTTTCAAATATATTGATAAATTACTATTTGTATACAACTTTCTGATCCAGATTTAGAGGTGGATATGGTGTCTTTGTGCACCTCTTATGCAAAACGTGCCTCTGAGCTTGAGAATACATGAACGTTCTTCATGGGTTTGGCTGCTTTTGGTCTTGAAATTCCTCAACAGTGACGCATGAAGTGTGGTAGGTGGTATGTAATTTCACAACGGTAGATGAGGTATACTACTTAGAACTTAAATTTTAGGTTGAAATTGCCCATATTAGGATTTTTATGTTGATTTTTTTTTTTCTGGCTACAAACCCACTGTTTAATAAGTTCCATGCTTGAGAAGTACTTTTTTTTTTTCCAGCCTTCAAAAATTATTTGAGCATTAGCTGATGTACAGGAAATACTTAGGTCCTTGAAACAAGACTGGTAGTTTAAAGAATTTGTCTTAATGGGGAGCAGAAGTTGAAGTGATACCTCTGAAAAGATTTTGCGAATGTTTAAAATTTTTTTGGTGATCCAGAGAGGTGAACTTTTAAGAATAAAAGTGTCTTTCTCTACAAAAATATTTGTCCAGTGTTTTTGTTTAAAAGAAATGCTCTGTTGTTTGTTTAGCAGAGTTGACTCAGCTTTGGTTGGTTACCATAGTTCAGCACTGTTTTCGCATTTCCATGTGAATTTCTAGTCATTCCCAGGCTTGGTTCAGGTTTGGGGGATCTCGTTGTATCGCTTCCGTTAGCTGCCTGTGGAGCTACGATTCTCTTCGTTGAATTTGGAAAAACATCAAACACGACTTAAGTCTTGATCTAATATCCCTCAAATGTCACTCACTGCTCAGAAATCAAGTAGCATGTAGCAAGGCAGCGGCTGCAGACAGAAGCAAGAGATAAAAGGCTTCGCTTGCTTTAAAGTAGTTATCTGATGGATAGCTACTATGGCGAGTTAACGCTGATTGTAGAAGCTAATAGCTCTTCAAAGACGTTTTGAAAAATGAGAAAAAATATTTAAAATGTGCTGCAATGGTAGAGAGCACGAGGACAGTGTGACAGCAGTTCAGAGCTGAGAGGTTCCAGCTGATTGGTGAAGTTCAACGGTTGCTTTGTGTAGCTGTAGCCGTGCAGTAGCTGGTACCTGGTTTGGGTTGTCAGCAAAGTTGTCCTCTCACCTCTGGTTCCCCGTTTGTGGGCCACTACTGCCAATGTGTTCATTTTTCAGTCTTGTCATGAAAGCTGAAAGCAGTAACTGTATGTCTGGAGTTCTTGAGCAGCTTGGTTGATCTCTTGTAGCTTATGGATTGGAAGGATAAAAGGCTGGGACGATCAAAATAGGTGTCGAGTTTTGGCCTGACCTTGACTTCTTTGAATTACTTCACTGATCAGACTTGGTTACTTTGTTTGATCCTGGTCCCTTGTTTAAGCCAGCTTCTGCCTTTTGCCACTCCGGTTATATAGATGGAGAGCCTCCACTCATCAGCTGGGTTGTTGCTGCCCAGCAAAAATGCTCCCTCAAGTGATAAAATTACAAATAAATCCAAATAAGTCTGGTTAGAAAGTGAAGTAATTTGATAGCCTCGTGTAACCAAGAGCAGCACTGTACTAGAATATAGTCACTTTAGAGTACAGGGTTCGTGAGTGAAGATAAAGTAGTGTGGGTTTGGTCTCTGCATGAGTTCACTTTGTTGGTTTCCATTTGAAAGTTGATGGGGTTTGAGAAATGCAAGCCTTACTTGAGAAAGAAATTCAGGTTAGGGTACTGACAAATTTAAACCCTAATTTGATACGCTGGAGATGTTGATGAATCTTTTGATAAAACTTGGGTTTGCGTACACTTGAACACTGTTGAAGACATCTGAAAAATCTGGATGTGTTGCCCACTGGAATCTTAGTTCCTGTTTCTTGCAGTTCCATATTTAATATATAGAGAATGCCAGAAGGCATTGTTGACTGTTAGAAGTTAAATTTTTGGAATTGTGTGGACTACCTGGGTAGATAGAATGACTTTGAGAATGTTCCTTGGAAAAATATTTTAAAGCAGTGGCATTTGATGGGCTTTTAACTTGTATTCCTTAAATAGTGTTAGTGGATAATGCCTGTGAATAATTAGAATAATTCTGAGTTAACTTTGCTCTTTGTTTTTTTTTTCCTCGTTTCTTTCTTTGCAGAAAGAAAATGGCCAAAATGGAGGTCAAGACATCACTTTTAGACAACATGATAGGGGTGGGAGATATGGTTCTTTTAGAGCCACTCGATGAAGATTCGTTCATCAATAATCTGAAGAAGCGCTTTGATCACAATGAAGTATATGTGAGTATATGTTAAGGAATAACATCCTACAAGGAGCTATGTTATCATTCTTAAAATGTATGTTTGTTTATAAGGATACACGTAGACCGAACGCCCGAACACAATCTATTGTATTAGGGATATTTTAAACCTTACTTGTGCTGTAATCTTTCCTGTACTGCATTGTTTGCATTTGATCTTTTCTATCTGGGGTATTTTTCCTTTTTTCCCGTTGCACAGCATGGTGGACCTCTGATTGTCATATAAAACAGTTCCAGAACTGATGATGATTACTTTCGTCCTCCTGTTGTCAGAGGACGTTGCAGTTATAAATAATTCACTTCCAGGGAAGGCACTTCCAGGATGTTAAAGCAAGTTGATGTAGAAACAGTGGATGTTTGGAATATGCTAGGGCTAGCTTAAATGTTGCCTGCTATTTTTGATTTGCAAAAAAGTTACGTTTAATAGAATGGTTGGATTTTAAAGTAGAAACAATGAGCTTGGACGTATGCATAAGTAGTCAAAACCTTCAGGCATGTTAATCTCTGAGTGAGGATTGATAGAAGAGATGTTGTTAACTGACAGTTGAAACACAGACTGGGAATGAAGAGGCGAATTGTGATTCCAGTTAGGCCTTTCATTCCTATTTAGTCTATTTTTGTTAAAATGTGCACAGTACTGTATCTGTAGTACTGCTGAGGCTGTGTGAACTTCATGATTTGCGGGGACTTTCCAAGACCGTGGGTGACAGATAAGTCTTTGGAGAGTAAAGCTGAAATATTTAAGTCAAACTATAGCTATGATCTGCAAGCAATTGTGTCTGCAGCTTATTACCCATCAAATAGGTGTGTTCTGTACTTCGTTATAACTTAGCCCTCCCCCCCTTTTAATTTTTAGTGTGACTATAGTTTTCCTTCTTGCTAAACATTTGAACCTTCATGATTTCATTGTACTTTTTCCTTTCCATCCTCTAGTATGGGAGGATCTGTTATTTTTGTTTGCTTCTTCTATCCCTTAGTTGTAGTCCATGCTTTTGTACCTCTGCTATTCGTTGTGTCGCGTCTTTCTTCTGGAGTTGGAGTCCTTTTCCTGCTCAACTGTGCCGGTTCCCTTTTCTGTAGGGGTTTACTTGGCAATATGCAGTTGTACCTATCTGCTGTTGGATCACCTCCACCTCTTTGCTTCTTAAGTTTGGACTAGTAATTTAAATTAACCAGAAAATTAAAGTAAGACAAGGACTCAGCATCCATTAAAACCTTGTTGGAGAAGAAACCAAAACGATCTCTATTTGTGGAAAGATTTCTTCCACAATGGTTAAAAAAATCTTCCTGATACCTTTGAGAGTTGCATTTACAAAAATGAATGTTTTATTTTCCTTGTTCCTTGAAGATGTAGTCTGTTCCCTCTTGATAACCCTGAGACGTTGATACGGGCAGGTAGGTAGTAGACTCCCCTTTGCCGCTCTTTCAGCCAGCTTCTGGCAAGTCCTCCATATTCAACAGCTGCAGTCGCTGCCTCTTCTGGGATTCCGAGATTTTTTTCAGTCAGTGACTTGTATAATTAACCTGTTTCACTTCAGTTTTAGGATTAACTCTATATTCCTCATACCTACAGTAAAAGTAGGTGATACAGAATCATCTCATTCCACTTTAGCTCAAGAAAATATGAAAGAGAAGAGAAGGAAAGTGAGCTATTTGCCCAGAGGCTGAAGAAGGTGGTACTGCCTTCCACAATCTTTGGGTCATATTTGAAAGTTTTATTTAAAGCATTAGGGATAGAAACCTGTTCTGTGAGCGTACCTCAGACTATGCAGTCTCTTACGAAGGATTGCAATAATTCACATGGGAGTGGATTTCTCCACATTTGTTTTTTTTGCTGTAAACGTTTATAGATTACAAAGTATTTAATTATATGTTTCTACTTAATTTAGACTGGATAGCTTTTTCTTGAAAGAAGTCATTTTGAATGACAAATGGGTAATCTGTTTTATTTTGATCTGCTGTTACATGCTAGCTGACAGTCGAGTTCAAACACATGGTTCTTTGAGACAGTGACAGGGAAGTGTGTGTTTCCTCCAGTTTCTCCTTTGGCTGGGCCTGGCACTGAGGTGCGATGTAATTAGCTGTATTGTGTGCTTTGGCAGGTGATGCAAGGTGTCACTTTTCTCTGGCAATGTAGGATCCTTTGCCTTGCAGGTGGAAAACCCTAATACTTAAGCATGCTCTGCTGAGAAGTGAGAACTGCTGCCAAAATGAAAAGATTTTTTGGTTGGTGGTTTTGGTGGTTTTTTTTTTTGTTGTTGGTTTGTTGGTTTTTTTTCTGAATCATTCCCTTGTAGTTTATTGCACTATCGTTTACCCTTTTTATGTCCAGGTTTGTTTGATCATGCGATTTATTTTTTTATTAAGGTCTTACCAATACTCTTTGTGAATCCACTCTACAAAGGCAAAATCTTGCAGATCTTTGCAAGTATTAAAACATTCACTACATCAGTGGGGCAAGAATAGATGCTTATGTCTGTGCCACATGCCACTACCACATGTACAAGTCTATTTTGTGATGCTTCATGGTTTTAGTTACCAAATCGCTCGAGGAATAATATCTCCATCCTGTATCAGTTGAGTTCTGCTGCCCTGCAGATTTCATGCCACTGTTGCGTGTTTTAGAAGACTTTTAAAACAGTAGTGGTTGGAACGGTGCTCACAGTAACAACCACACATAGATTTTTCAAGTGCAAACTCTTCTCTCCCCTTTCCTTATTGCCACCCACTCTATTCTGCCCAAACCTTGCCCGTGAAAACTACCCTTTGCGTTTCTGTTTTTACACTCAGATGAGCACAATGAAGCCATTGTGACATCTGGAAGTAATGTTTGTTTTACCGTGTAAAATCTATAGTTTGCGTGCTATCCTGGGGAAACCAAATTGGACTATTAAAGAGCTACCGTTGGTGCTTAACAAAGACTGCAGGTTCCTTCAGCTCTAACAAGCTACGCAGGTTAACCTCTCAGGATTCTTTCAGAGGGCAGTAGGGATTGGTTTGTCCTTGAATGGCTCTGTTGTGGGGTTAAGTTCACCCCTTGTGTCAGTGCTTCATTGTAGGCGTTACCAAAAGTGGTGTCCAGATTTAAAAAACAAAGTCAAACTGAAGCCATATGAACGGATTGAAATGTTTCTGCAGCAGTAAACCAGGGCTTACTCAACATCAGTTTCTAAGAAGTTTTCTGTAGGCTGACGGCTGTATCTGTGCTACATATGTTAGTTTTAAAATGGAGGTGCAGTTATAACCTTCAGAAGGGTTTGTTGTGAGGAAGGAGACCTGTAACATGAATAGCTTTGAAAACACTGTGAAGTTGGCCAGACGTTGCATAATCGTGTTAGCCAGCCTTGATAGGTAAATGTGAAGAGTCGAATTGAGCCATCAGTGAACAGTGCCAAATCTCTCCCCGTAGCCAAAGATGACAAGATAAATAGGCTCATTCCACTGGAAGAGAATACAATTTTTGTCTTTTCTAGTCTCTTTCACAGTAGTTATGTTTGACGCTGAATGTTTGGTGTTGGAGGTCCTAGTGCCAGCTCCATTTACCCATTTGAAATTCCAGATCTTGTCCATAAGAGCTCCCCTTGCAAAAACATTCAGATCTGGATCCCCTGATGGTCCTCTTGTACCATCCTGGGCACGGTCACTGTAAGCCCTTCGAGCAAATTAGCTAAGTTTCATGCCGTAGCGCAAACAGGGCCATAAGAGTACTCCTAACAGTTAGAGAACAGGCTACGACTTGATTACCTGTTGTTCAATTTTATGTGTATTTGATGGAAAATTTAATGGACTTGGGTGTTAGGTTGCATACCAGAGCGCAAAGCTGGAGGCTCTGCCTGTAAAAATAAGCATGAAGGCTGGTGGAGCTGGAGTTTGGCCAAATGTTCTACTAAAGACCATCGGTTTCTGCAGTAATCTCACGCTGAGTGGCTTTCGGGGGGAAGGGCTCATGGGGTAACATGCATGTGTTAATTGGAAATGGGAATCCTGGAGTTTAGTCATGTCTGGAAATGCCTGGGGTACGTCTGACCAAGAGAAATCTCATTAAAAAGCTGTAATTGTTTATTATATTCTTTTTGCAACTCTTAAACTTTTTGTTGATAAAATTTGCATCGCTCTTTCAAAAAAGTTCTTTTCTGTAAATATGAGTAACAAAAGCCTGTGAGAATTCTTCTTTAACTTTATAAAGTAAAATGTGGCTTGTGGGCAATGCAGTTAGCAAGGAGGAAAAAACCACAGTGTTGATTATTTGAAGGTTCCAGGGAGCAGCCTGTGCAGTTAAAACGTGTGACCTAGAGACCGCATGGAAAACTTCAAATACATTCATAAAATTCAGTTTGTGTGTCACTGTTTAATTTTGACTCATTTTTTTTTAACTCCTTCCTTGAACTTTTTATTTTTATTATTTAAGTTGACTGAAATATGCTTGGCCCATCCAGCTCAGCAATTATTTTTCCTTTGTATTTTGAGATGCTGACAAATGGGAGGGGGGCATCCGTCTATACGTGCGTTTACGGTGACTTACGAACGGTAGAGATTTGGAATAAATTGTAGTACGTGTATCAGTCTGAAACTTATTTTTGTGGTTTTGTGAGGCGTGTGGAAGTGGTAAGAGGGGTGCGAGGAGTCTGGAGCGGAGCGGTGCTGCGTAGGCATTTAGAGGCCAGATACCACTTTATTCTGCTGCCCTGCACATTTTTCGCCGCAGTTATGTTGTTTCTTGAAGTCTTCCCAAATTTGCAGAGGTCAACGTTTTGTCCCTTACAACAAAATGCTTGTTTGCTTTTTGTTCTTACAAGAGAACAGAATCTTTCTCTGATGTCAGCGTTTAATTTGTGTTTTCTCTGCGTGGAGTTTGTGGGCTGCTTTGGGCAGGAACAGTCCTGTGGCACTGAACGCGTGTTGTTTTATCACCGAAACATTAAATATTTGGCATTCCAGCGTAATAACTCGGCGTTAGCAGTTCGAGGTAGCACCCTCGTG